ATCAAGGTGGTTATGAAGTTACAAGACATCATCTGTTCATCCAAATAATATAGCTCTAACTTGTACATTTCAGCTCATGCATATTAACTGTAAAAATAACTCTAAAAGTTAGTACATTATTTGTGGGGTGGAGCATAACTGGGGGTAGGAATTAAATATTGGCAGTAAACTGATGATGTGCTGATAAGGCCCACGAGGATTATTATTCTATTTTGTTTACTTTCTATATACTTTTTATTTTTTTTACTGTTGTTCAGGTAAAATTGTCTCCATTTCTCCCCCACCACTTCTCCCTGCCCCACCCATCCCCACCTCCCACCCTCAAACCCACCCCCTTGGCTTTGTCCATGTGTCCCTTATATAGGTTCCCTGATGACCCTTCCCATATTATCCCCTATTATCCCTCTCCCCCCTCCTCTCTGGCTACTGCCAGATTGTTCTTTATTTCCATGTCTCTGATTCTATTTTGCTCACTTGTTTTGTTGATTAGGTTCCACTTATAGGTGAGATCATATGGTATTTCTCTTTCACCACCTGGCTTGTTTCACTTAGCATGATGCTTTCCAGTTCCATCATTACTTTTTAAGGATTAAAAAGGTAACGTAAGTAAACAAGTAAATTGCTATGCACCCGCCTTCTAGAAGAAATACCACGCTTGGTTTTTTATTCAGGTATTGTTGTTGATGCTAATGATAAGCTTGATAAAGATGATAATGATACTATTCTACCCACTTAACATATACTGTACATTAGATACCACACTCATTATGCTGTGATGGATGAGACAAGCAGTCTTTGCCTCCATCACTTTGCCAAAGTATAAAGAAAAATGAATAAGGAAATAGAATACACAACTGTAAACTATAGTGACTGTTACTTTTAAAAGGTTTTGTAATACAGAAGACTGATTTGGCACTTACCATGGACCAGATATTGTGCTAACCACTTCTAAATGATCCCATCAAGGGCAGGTAGTATTACCCCACTTACATACGGGGGAAGTGAGTAAAAATTATATTCTCACATCTAATACATGGCAGAGCATCATGCATTTGTGCTGCTCTATCATGAACACCTGATCTGTTCTGAACCAAAGCTTGAGTGGGATTAGTAATGAAGAGTTTCAGAACAGCAGATGCTGGAACTTAATTGTCCCATAAGGAGCTCGTCTGACTTTATTATCACTGTGTCATAGCCAGCTAAGTCAATCTATAGGAAGGTTGTGCAGGATATAATAATGTTCTCCCTATTTCTATCATGTCCCTCCATCCAGGCATTTCCTACACCAGCGCCAACTCCTCAAAACTGTCCACTAGCCTCACATTCCACTCAGTGGACAAAAGAAAAAATCTACAAAAGGACTCTACCAGTTAGCCCCTGGTTCCAGTCTCTATGGTCTCCTTTGCTAAGCCCCAAACAAGCCAAGCTGTCCCCACCATAAACTCTTTGTACTCCGTTTTCCCTCTGCCTGGAATTCCCTTTCCCAAGTTCACACGCGTCCGTCCTTCTCTGTCAGTATCTTCAAACAGTGAAAGGACTTCTCTCCCCAGCCCATGTACAAAACGCCCCATTTATCTCTGTCTCCTTTACCCACGTTATGTTTCCTCCCAACACCTACCACCACCTGACACATGCTGTATCTGCCAACATCCACGTGCAGTTAATGGCTCTCCTATTGGACAGTAGTGTCTTAGGGTGTCAGCAGGATGGCGAGGAGAGGAGAAAAAGAAGGCTGCCCACAAGGCAGAAGGAAAGGCAGAAGGAAAGGCAGAAGAGAATGCTGTCACAGAGCTGAGGGAGAAGAGCAGTGAAAACTAGAACAGGAGGGGAGAGAGCCAGACTACAGGATGTGAAAGTACAATGATGTTTTCAGGAGCAAACCATCAGACTGAGAATATGATGTACAATACCTACATTATGGAAATGAGACAGAAAATGCTAGTCAAGATAAGAAACAACACCGAACAAACAGGTTCCTAATTAATTAAACTTGCAATAGTTATAGGCCTTAAACTGAGGTCGATACTGTGACACGTCAACTACCAAATACAACAAGGTTCGAAAAACGGTGTCTTAACTGTGGAAGACTTTATAACTCCAGTGATACTTTCTAGTCTTTATTAAACAAACAATTCTTCACAAAAGTGCGGCAGATCACACTTAAATTCTACATCTCTGCATTTAAAATAATAATTGATATACATTTCAAAATAAAAGTACAGTTGTAGTCTCCTTTTCCAAAAAAAGCATATCAAACTACTACTGTATCATTCCTCTCCAGTAACTAGAACATAATACACTTTTACCTTCAATGTAAGTATAAATCTTTTTTAATGATACATTTTCCTCTTAAAAACATCTATAAAGAAAACTTCCAGAAAGTTATTCCCCCAAAAATTTTTTATATTGAGGTATAATTGACATAAAATATTAGTTTCAGGTGTAAACATAATGATTTTATATATATTAAATAAGTCTGACATCTGTCACCACATATACATATATTTTTTATTTTAGAATATAGTCTACATTTGTAGCAAGTATAGGAAAACCCTCTGTTCTAAAATTAGCATTGCTTACAACAGAAAAACAATTTCATTTTTAATTACAGCAATTCAAATGATATTTCAGAGTAAAATATTTTCCCTTTTCATTTCTTCCTTCATGATTCATCACTGCCGAATTTTTAAAAATGTTAACAATGTGAGGACTGAAGAAAGCTAGGGATGACAGCCTTTGCAGACAGGAATAGCTGCCGTTTTCAAAGCACTCTGTCATCTGCACAGCTCTCTAACACAGCTTGTCTCTTTTAATTATCACATCACTCCCTAGGAGTTAATAATATTACGTATAATTATTCCCAGCTTAACAATAAGAAAGCTGAGTTAATAAGTAGAATATTAGAAGCTACGTATTTGAACTTCAAGTTCAATACTCTTTCCAGGGCAACTCTCCCCTAGATAAATATTAAGCATATAACTTTATGATCTCTCTGATTTTTCTAGATATATCATTAAATACTACCAGTATAATCAAGACAATAGATAACAAATCTTGCTTTAAGAATTGCCCTTAATCCTAAAAAGAAAAACTTTAGGGCAAAATCCACAATGGAAATCCCATGTTTATCATTGATTCCTATTGGAAAGTAGCCTTTCAAGTCAAATTTAAAAACCTGTGTGATGAAATATTACTACTTGGGCAAACTTCTAACATAACAGATATAGTTTAAGGATCTTTTTACAAAATTTCACTCTCCGTTTTCTGAGAATGTCCCCAGCAGCATTAGGCTGCAGGGACACACTTCACCAAAGTGCGCTGTGAAAAGACGATGAGCCTAATATTCACTCCATGAAATAAATATTTCTACCAAGGGCCAGTTATCTTTCCTTCAAATTTTCTATGTCAGGTAGACTAAAGCAAATAAATACCTTCCTTTTCTAATTTGTTCAAGTTTACTTATATCAAATAAGACACATTTGAGAGATCACCATAAGTCATTGAAACTAACACTACATTTTAGTAACTAAAGTATATTTTATAAACATTCAGTAATCTAATACTTTAGCAAACATAAACAAGGGACAGATCTGAATGATATCTGTTTTAATCATGGTTTCTTCTAACATTACAGTAATAACTTCATTTCCTAATAGTTTATATGGTATTGAGTATAATTATTAAACATAAACAACCAATAATCAACAAGGATTATTTAATACCACTGGGGCAAAATTCATTTCACAAAGAATCTCTATTCAAAAGAAAATGAGTGAACTCAAGCAATGATGCAAAGGATGTAGGAACAGAAGCAGGATGCCAGGCAGCACTCTGAAAAATCTGCTGTGTCAAATGCCCAGTGCTTCCATTAGGTGTCTGTACAAGATCCCAGTGAGCGCTGGGGCCAACAGCGTGAATTGCTTCGGAGAACTGGAACCTAGAATAGACAGACCGCTGGCCCTTGCAGCACATTATTCTATGGATCATCATACACTTCTACCTAAAATGTAAAATGCCAAGCAGCACATCCACACATAATATGAAATTCATATAACTTGAAAAAACATTTCTATAAGTGTATACGTAACTGAATAAATAACAATTTACCACCACCTTTTAAAAGTAGGAACTTATGTTAAATGTTTCTGTCGGTATGCAATAAAGTCTTATTTCATTAAGGTAAACATTTTTACAAAGATCTTAAAAATATTATGTTCCCATGTGGCATTTTAATCTATTTTTTTGTTTTAATATGATTCTTTAACAAAGAAAGCTCTTCTTTAAATATGTTTAATAGGAATTAATGAACAAACCTCGAACTGTCTTTACTCAATATGTAAGCATTGATTTTCCATCTAACATTGTCTTAGATAAGTAGATTTACACAGGTCAACACATTCACATATTGGTCTTTGCCAGTATAACATTGTTTATTTAAATTTACTCACCCAAAACTGCATGTCTTCCATTATTTTTTTTTAAAAAGAAAGAAAGATGCAGAGAGATTTGACTTTTGTTAAGTCTCTCCTCTATGTATAAATTTATTCTGGAAAATTTCTAAATAACAGTTTCCTTTGGGAAATTTTCAAATGCTGAAATTCTTCTACCAGAAATACACCAACTTCTTCGTTCCTCTCTGATTTCTGTAACTGTATTATTATTTCAGGAGTTAGCTTATCCTCACAGGGGAAGATCTGACAAACCGTGAAAAGATTATCAAAATACATAGGGAGGTGAAAGTTATACAACAAATTAACCATCTCCTACACAATGCCCTGCATTCCACTCTACTTGAGTTACAATTGGGAATGTTCTAGTCACATGTCCAATTAGTTTGCTAGAAACCTTTGACATTCTTTCCAACTAGAACTTAAATATAATTCAGTTCTCCAGAATTAAAGTTCTGGTACATTAACCACCACCCACATATTAGCCTCACTTAACTCTTTATTTTTATGTAGTCCAAAATAAAGAAAAAAAGTCAATTAAAACTAACATACTCAGCTGCCTGTTTGTAGTGCTTCAAGTCTTTCTTCAAATTTTTGTTTTCATTTTCTAAAAGCATATTCTGGGTGTACACATCTGGGACGTTCCCAGCACCGCTAACTTCAGTTATACCCTTCTGTATTAACTCGTACCTAGAATAAAATGAAACAAAAAGCTTTATGTTGTTTCTTCTTTCTAATTTGCTTAACTTATGTACAACTCAAAACTTAAGCTTTAGGGAATCTTTACAGAAATTAGTTTGCAATATTACTTGTATAAAAATGTCAACACTCATAAATTCTTTCTAAAGATTAATGAATTGTAAGGGACTAATATCATCAGGTGCATAAAATATAACTGAACATCTGCTAGGTTTCATGCACTAATCTAGACACTTGGAAAAATTAACAAAATGGTTCAAGGCTGTATCTCATTGAGTTTATGGAGTTTTCACTCTAGTGTGGATAGCGATATGTTCTGTATGAATAAAATAAAGCAGGGTAAGAGAGACAGAAATGCTGAAGCGGAGAGTGATGGGGTTGTTTGCACTCTCCATTTTATTTATTTTGTGTAGGGTGTCCAGAGAAAGTGTGACTGACAAAGTGACGTTTGAGCAGAGAACTGAAGGAAATAAGGGAATAAGCCATGTGGAGATGTGAGAGAGGAGCATTCTCGGCTGATAGGAAAGCAAATGTAAAGGCCCTGCGACAAGGAAGTGCTTAGCATGTAAAATAGAGAGAGAAAAGCCAGTATATCTAGAGTATCCAGAGATGGAGCCAACTAACTGGGCAAGAGGCAGAGTGGTGAGAGATGGGTCAAGAAAACTGGAGGGGGCCAGAGAGAGGGATGTGATTTGACTTTGAATCGGACTGAAGTCACAGGCAGGCTTTGAGAGATAAGTGACACAGATCTGATTTATGTTTTTAAAAGACTTGTCTGGCATTTGTTTAAAGAAACTACCTCTAGAGTAGCAAGAACAGAATCAGAGAGCCTAGGCTGGAGACTGCTGCGATAGTCCAGGAGAGAGAGAATGGTGGCATGAACAAAATGGGTAGCAGTAGAGATTATGGAAGACGGGTCCCTTCTGGATATACTTATAAAGGTGGAGCCAGCAGGACTTTATTATATATCAGCTGTCAGGTGTTGGTTAAAAAGAGAAGTCGAGGATGACTCCCAGGTTTTTGGGTGAACAGCAGAGAGCCATTTACTGAGATGAGTACAAACACAGTAGACATTGGGTGGTTAAAGAAACCAACAAATTCTTCCCATTCGTGTTCACTGCAATATGTAAAGACAGAAGTGAAGAGTCCAAGGACTGTCTGAAGAATGAGGAGAAAAGGAATACTGCTAAACAGAGACTGAAAACACAGAGGAAGCAGTGAGGTACTGGGCAAATATGAGAGCAGTGCCTCAGGGACCAAGTGAAAAAAGTGTGGTGAGAAGAAAGAAATGAATGACAGTGATAAACGCTGCATGGAGGGTGGGCAAGGTGAAGTCACTCAAAAAAGTTTCAGGAGAGTCATGGAAAAGGAAGTAGACCTAGAGGTATCAGAGGGTTGAAAAAGATTTGTGGTAACAAACTTTTCCAAGGAGATATGCTTTAAGCAGAGCCAAGAAATCATGATGAACCTAGAAAAGGATATGGAGTTCAGGGTATTTTTTGATTTCTCCTTTCTTTTAATATATGACATATTATTGCATGTCTGTATGTTTATGAGAGTGATCTAGCAGAAAGGGGGAAGTTTACAGTGCAGGACAGAAAGGGGACAACTGCATGAGCAATGTCCTTGAGTAGGCCAGAGGAGCTGGGGTCCAGCAGGGAAGAGGAGGAGTGGCCTTAGATGACAATGTGTATGGAGCAGCCCCTGTGACAGGTCAAAGGGTAACTCTGAGGACAGAGGCAGCAAGCTGGTAGAGAGGCAGGCAGGAGTTGTGGCACTTCTATCGTTTCAGTGAAATAAGAAGGAACATCAGAGAAATATTTAGATTTGTAAATAGTTACAATTGGAATCATTATATGTAGAAATTAACAAAGCTGAATCTAAAACAGAGCATAACAACATTTCAAGTAATAAAGTTATTAATGAACAAATCTCTATTTTGTTAAAAAATAAACTTGCTATGGATGGACTAAACATTAGTTTAAAAATGTTTAATTATCAATATTTCATATCACAAATTTTTATTTTTATTGCACATTAATTGTCATGTTTTTATGTTACACAAGTTATTTGAAATTAAGAAAAAAAATCAAGAGAAGCCCTGCGGAATATCTACAAGGGTAAGATAATTGAATCAATATTAAGTAATATGTGCCACAATTTCTAAAACAGCAAACAGATAACCATTTAATCATAAATTCACTATTTTATCCATATTTGAAATGTGATTTATACTTATCTCAGAAGAAAAGACATATGGATTGACAGAAGAACTGGACCATCAGGTTTTTCTAAGCATAAAATTGGTTTTCAGCAACTTGCTTTATTTAATGCAGAAAAAAAAATCACTACAGAAATTATGTCAATAAGAAAAACAGTGATATAGTCCTTCTCTAAATTAAATGCTCTGCAAATACACATATAACAAAATAAGTAAAAATACAACACAAATAACACATTACAATATATATATCTTAGAATATTCAGAAGTCACTTACCAAGCAAAAATTATGCCATGCATGTAAAAATACCAAACATGACTTTAAACACACTAAAACTTATGATTCTACAGGTGAATTAGAAATTTTAATATAGAAACTCTGGAAATATATTCTCAGTCAAATCTATATTTTCCTACATAAGATTTTTTGGTTTTGTCTCAGGTGTATCTGTATGTGAATTTTAAAGAAATATCCTGGTCTCTACTCCTTCCCCCTTAGTCACTTACACTTAAAATAAGAATGAAACTGTTCATATGGGGGAAAAAGATGGTCATGTAAGTATTGGGAACAGAAAATAAAACACTATCAATAGAACTGCCAGTGAATTACTGTCAATGACTTTACATTAATGTTCTTCATATTCACCACAAGGTCCATAAATTAATGACAATGATACAGAAAGAAATACATATATTTCATGGAGAAAATGCACAGGCTTTCATAAGACGTGTGTATATACCAAAAGAATTTAACACCCACTGCCACAAATGATGACTACCACGACAGAATTTCAGTGAACATATAAACAGTGCAATAAGAATAACCATTATTTTTCCTTCAAGATGGCACTTAAGGCATAGGATATAAAAGCCAGAAAAAGAATCATCTAGGTAATAAGCATCAAATGAGAATCGTTCCTGCATATTTACAAAGAGAATTACAGAAGTATTTCACCAATGAAGACAAAATTCCCTTAACTACTGCCCAAACTGAGGATGCTGGACTCCCCAGCACTGTCACGACATCACTGTGAAAGCAGAGTCCTTCACAAGAAGGACAGAACAGCTGAACTAGTACTGGTCCCATGATTCTTCAAGTCAATATGGAAAACAGGTACAAATCTGTACTCTAAATCAAAATATTTCTTTACTGACATCTTTTCAAGATCCCCTATACAATTCCACAATTCAGCATGATGGGTAGGAGAGGTGTTGACCGCCACCGACTGGCTGCAACTGGCTGCCACATACCCTGGATCCCTAACCTCTCTCAGCCCACTTCCTCATCCATACAATGGAGGTGCGATAGTAGCTCCCTGCTGTATAGCGTTGTTGGGAGAAGTAAATGAGAAAAAGTATGAAAAATGCAGACAACTGTTCTTGAACAACAAAAAATAATGAAAAAAAATTTTTTTTAAATGGCATGAATAATGAATACATACTAAACTAATGAAATGACAACAAAGTGCCTTCCTGAATGATAAACCTTAGGATTCATCTTCTTAAATATTTTTAAATGTTTCATATTTAATGAAGACTATATTAATTTTGGTTACAAAGCACATGTTAAGTATTCACTTTCAAGCCTGCCTTCTTGAAAACATAGTACTTAAACAAATCTCTGCATATATGTTTACAGAGCTCAAATTTAACATTGTAGTGCAGTAAAAGCTAGCAGGATAGAATAGTCACAACATTCCTGTGTTTAACTTAATCCTGGCTGGAGAAAACAATTACTACAACATGACCCATAATCAGAAGTCAAATCCCAACAACTGAAGAAACAGCAATAGGTTTCAATGATGAAGGAACAAAAAGTGTGGTTTTCACTAAGAGACTTTAATGTACACACGGCACCACATACACTCCCCACATACGCTGTGCAACAGAAGGTATAATTTTAGTTCTAGGCTCTGGCTTTAAACCTAACCATTCCCAGAAAGTTTTAACTATACTGCCCACATTGGAGTAATTCTATAAATTATGCCAAACTTCATTGGCTTAAAAGCAGCAATATTTATCTTTTTAGAAAATTACACGACTATACTACAAAATGTGTAATTTCTTCTATAATTAATAAAAAATTTAAATTAGTAATAAAATATCATAAATAACTTTACTATTACCTGTGATGGCATTTTTATTACTACTCAACCTTCAGCACCGACCAAACTGGAGATAAGCAAGGATTAAACAGGACTCGAAAGAGTCAAGAAAGAAAGAAAAAGACCTTGTTTTCAAAACATTTGGCTATCCAGGGAAAGAGAGTTAGAGAGGGTGGGAGGAATATCAGAAGAAAAGGTAAAGAAGAGCAAGAACATCTGTCTCTGGTGACTGAGCTCTGACCCAGTTAGCAAACAGCAAAATGGCCCGGGGGAGTCAAGCGCTGATTAACATACAGGACAGGGTGCTTAAAGCGCTCTGAACACTCTGTCCTTTTTAAACCCCCTCTTCATTTTTGCCACCAGGGAAATTATCATTGTCCACAGAGTTCTTCTAAAGAGATATATATTACATATGCGCGCACACACACACACACACACACACACACACACATATATATATATATATATATATATATATATAAACTTTTTTTTGTCAACAGCAAGGAATAAAAAGAGCTTTCTTGGCCACACGGTCTCTGCTGTGACTAATTAACTTTGTTGTTATAGCGTGAAAGCAGCCACGGACCACAACTTAAAAAAAGTCATGGCTGTGTTCCAGGAAAATTTTATTTACAAAACAAGAGGCAGGCTAGAGTTGGCCCAGGGATCTTGGTTTGTTGACCCCAGATTTAAAGGATTTACTTCAATTACTGTTTGAGGATTGAAAGGACATAAGTCAAATTTCAGTTCCCGGGTTTTTTGGTTTGGGCTTTTTTTTGTTTGTTTGTTTTAGAATCTAACAATGGGAAAACCTTGTTTTAAAGAATTCATAGCAATGATACGTTTTTTTCTCCATAATAAAAATGATATAAGTAATATATTTAATATTCCTATAATCCTACTATGCAGAATAAAATACATAAAGGTCTCTGGTCCAAGTCAGATGCTCTTTGTGAGTAAAAGCAGCCAATACAGTGTAATCACAGGGCAAACAACCTGCAATCTCATTACAAACTGGCTGCCAGGGATAAGGATAAAACTACTTGAACCACAGTGTTATTAAACCCATATATTAAGATATTTTACACAAATTTTACTTAATGATTGTAATATTATGCTAAGTGGTATGCTTAGTTAGTGTTCTAAAATTCCTACCACAATTGTAGTTTCCTAAGATTTCCTCTCAACTCAAAAGACTAAATGTGAAAAGATAATATGACAAGTACCTGTTTGTGAAGAGTACGCTGGCTCCACGTTTCTATGAGGGAATCGCTTAACACTTTAGACTGACCAACCCTGTGAGCACTACATGCCCTAACACACATTCTCAGAGGAAGCAAAGGTAACTGAACCCCATTAATCTCTCATCTCGTTAGTACTGCAAGTTAATCATCTACTTTTACAAAAATATACTTATAATGCATTTGTAAATGTTTTAGGGGCATTTTCATAAAAATCATTTACACAATTTCCACATTTAGTAGGAACAATATTATTTTACTGCCATCGAACTTGCCCTTTTTCCTAAACTATAATAAAAAATGGTTCTCTTCTTTCAATGTATTAACATTAGATATGCAATTTAAAGTATTAAAACATATCTCTTCTATGTGCATGGTCCAAGTAGATGAGAACCAAAGAAAAGCAAAAGATAAAAACTACACCATAGATGGATTAGTAAAAATTAAAGCTTGTCCCTATATTTAAAATTAGGATTATCCAAAAAAACATTATAAGCATCTTCATATGCCATACAATTCCTTCTTTCTATAATATGCAATGGTTTTTAAAGACCAAACATATTTTCATATCTGATTATTTAATAATATTTCATTAAAGAATGTTAGGACTCTGAAAACATGCCTGGTGACATTACTGCTGTAGCAAAGGAATAAACACAGCATATCTGCTAAAGTCTATAACCAATGAGTTAAATTTTTCAATTATAACAAAAAAATCCTGTCTTCAGTTATCATTTGAAATGTTTCCACTTACTTCTACATGAAGAAAAAAATTTCAGTTTATATATTTATGTATTTTTTATTATTGTTCCAGTACAGTTGTCTCCACTTCTCTCCCACCACTCTCCCTACCCCACCCTCAGCCCTGCCCCGTCCTTTGCCTTTGTCTATGGGTCCTTTATGCATGTTCCTTGACATGAAGAAAAATGTATAGAAAAAGAGAATCAATCATTTGTGTGAGTAGAGAAAGGCAGACCATTACACTACATGGAAAACAAGCAAAGTAGTACTGTTAGTAGGATTTCTTAATGCAGGAAATAATACCCTTACCAATTTTGCAGAAAATATTAGGAAAAGCACTTCATAAAGTCATTTTGTATTATATCATATAACTCCAGAATATATTCTAATTTCTTGATTTTTGAAAATCACCTCATTTCGAATATTTCACAAAGATGTTTAATATAAATTTATTTGAACTGATACCCTGATTATGTGCATTTATGTGTTTACGTGGATGTGTTTGGGGGAGGTGTGCTGGGTTTCAGTTGTGGGGATGGGAAAGTTTCCACCCATTTTATCCATTTTGCGTAAACTGAGTGACTTCAGTTTTTAAGAGGGTTAAAAGTGTACACATGAAACACTGTTAGCATTTCTAGAGAACTCTTTATCTACATAATTACTTACCACTCAGACTGAAAGCAGTCAAGGGTTCTGGTCATTCCCATCTTGATCAGAAAGTTGCAGAGAAAGTCTTCTATTACTTCAGGGACTTCACGCTTTGAAGGAAGGACTGTCTTCTGCTCCTGAAATTTAAATGTGCAATTAATTATTTTGGAAACATCAGATCTTTCATTAATGGCATTGATTCATTCACTCATTTGTTCTTTTTTTTTGAACTATGTCGAGATGGATGGTAGTTGAAGGATAATCACTGGGGATAAAGCAGTGATAAAAACAGGCAAGACTCAGTCCTCATAGCTAATAACCAAGTGGATGGAGACAGAAAGTGAATAACCACTTTAAAAATACACAGTATGGAAGATGGTACTAAGTGTCCACATTAAAAAAGCAGAGGATTAAAACTAGAGGGAGCCCAGAGTAGGGCAAAACTGTGTGTGGAGTCTGGCTGCTGTGCATGTAACCTAATGAAGGAAGATTTCACTGCTAAAGCAGTGTCTGAGCAGAAATCTACAGAGGAGGTTCCGGACGTAGCATTGGCCAGTCCAAAGGCCCTGAGGCAAGAGTGTAATTGGATTGTCTGAAGACAAATAAGGTCAGCTTGCCCTTTCAATATTACAAAATACACTAAAAAAAAAGAAATCTATGGACCTTTAAATTATTTTAATTTTTATCAATATAAAAAGAAATACTGTATAATGATTTTGGTGCCTTGATTTTTATTACAGAAATAATAAGGAAGAAATCACGTGCAATGAAGGAGGCTTGCACTACTATTTCACAATGAGAGTCTATCAACTAGAGGAGAGGTCAGCTAACTCTTCTTGGAAATAAAGTTAATTAGAACACAGCCACCCCCATTAGTTTACATATTGTCTATGGCTGCTGTTGCTCTATGTGACAGGGCTGAGTAGTTGCAACAGACGTCTACCCTTTGGCCCTCAATGAGAAAAATGGTGATATTTCACCAACTAAGATATAAAGTTAAGACAGCCAGACAAACTACTAATCACATAATCCAGTGTATAAAATAAATCAAATAATGGGTAAATTCTTAGAAAATATCAACCGCATCATCGTTGTCATTAGCCTGCATTCATTTTCTTTTCACTAGCGGGAAATTCTTAATTTAACTGTCAATCATTTGGATAGACAGATCTAGTTTCTCACACACGCAGAAACGCAGCAGTGGACTTTTTCTTCCTATTTCTCCTCCTCTCACTGTTAGTGGCTACAGACCAGGTTACACAGAATACACAGGATGATTACACAGAAATACAGTGAGGAAAAAGAACCTGTTTTGCCATAAAAAGTTCTTTACAAAAGTACCAAACACAGCCTTGGCTGGTGTACTTCAGTGGATTGAGAGCCAGCCTGTGAACCAAAGGGTCGCCGGTTCAATTCCCAGTCAGGGCACATGCCTGGGTTGCAGGCCAAATCCCCAGTAAGGGGTGCTTGAGAGGCAATCAAACATTGATATTTCTCTCCCTCTCTTTCTCCTTCCCTTCCCCTCTCTCTAAAAATAAATAAATAAATATTTCAAAAAAAATACTATACACAATTTGACACTGATGTGAATTACTTGTAGGTGCTATAACATTCAAAATGGTGGAGAGTTGAAGCAAATTTGGGGGTTACAGAAAATTCCTAAAATGACTAGGGGTTCTAAATACTTTTTAAGAAAACTTGAGCAGAATAACTTAGAACCCCTTTTCTAAAATTACTGTTAAAAGGTATTACATAGCAATGTTGATTATATTCAGGACCCTATATAAAACACCATGAGAGATGCCACAGTAGCAGAATACTGTATTTTGCCTTGTATAGTGCACAATTTTCTGCCCAAATATTTGAGAAAAAAATAAGGATGCACATTATACATGATAGTACTAATTTAATATCTATATCAATGTTTTTAATTCTTTTATTTATGCTTATGCATTAAAAGTGTAACTCTAGAAAATAATAATGATATCTGTATGCAAAATAATAACCTGAAATATGATCATTGGTTCTGTTTCCAAATATAAATAAGTTTAAAGTTTTGAATTAAAATGAAAGATGTTTTCCTGAAGGTTTGGGCCAAAATCATGGGTGCACATTATACATGGCAAAATAGTTTCTTGTCCTTGCCTTCAAGTCTTGCATTCCAGTGGACAATTATACAGAATTCTTCGGTGAGGGCCTAATACAGTCAGATGCAAACATTTGTTATACAATAGTAAATACTACCTCAGAATTTGGGGTTAATAAATTTAAATATGGTATTTCATAGGATTAGATGAATGACAATTGAAGGAATCGGGAACACAAGAGGATAAAACAGAGAGAATATATCTACTTTAGTTTCTTACCATGCCCGTGGACTGCTGTTTGTACGTATGTTGGTATGTATAGCTGCGACACAGCAGGTAGGTTCCTGAAGACTGTGGTCTTCAGTAGATGTTTTCTTTCTCCCTCTTCCTAAATACATCTGATACACATACTAACAATTCTCTATAATCTTCCACTCCACTTTTATCTCAATTACACATTCTCTACAATTCTCCTATGGCTTTATAACTAATTTAATGATGATGTTAATAAAGTACCTCAGAATAAGCACAAAGAGAGCAAGTACTCTACTACCTAGCAAATATGCCTTCCTTTGAAGATTGCTGAATTATAAAAATATATCCTACCCACACGTGACCCAATAGTCTGTTGGTGACAAAGGTGACCCTAGCATATAGCTCAGTTTTATATATTAAAGTTATAAATTTGAATTTTCCTAAGGAGAGAGGTTTCTAGATAGTGTAATGAGGGCAACAGTAGAAAGCTGCTCTGAAAAATGATCAAGGAGCAGGTGAATAAAAAGGCTTTGTTAAGGAGACTCTTAGGTTGGAGTTTAGAGGGGGCATAAGGGAACTAAATGGTAATGGAAAAAAATAAGCTTTCAGAAACAACAATAAACAAACAAATAAATAAGTAGGAAATTCAGTGGATGAAGAAGGTCTAAATAGAGGGAATACAAATTTACTAATCCTAGATTCTTTTGTTATAACATAATTCTCAGCAAAAAAAATTTGATAAAAATCTGAATAACTATACTAGAAAAAAATTAGCATAAAATTCTATAAAACTTCTCAAACTCTATGTTCTCAGTACATTTTTATGCTCAAAAACTACAGAGGGCTTTTGTTTAAATGGATTGTACCTATCAATAATTATCATATTAGAAATTAAACTTTTAAATATTTATTTTTAAGTAACTATAAGAAAACTTTTACCCAGTAACATAAATTAGCACAGTTTTATAAGCTAGAACTATATTTTGCAAAAACAAAAATAAATTAGTGTGAAGAGCAGCACTGTTACAAAGTTTTGCAAATCTCTCTAATATGTAGAGGAGATAGCTGGATGCCAACATTTGCATCTGCATCAGCCTACTGTAGTATGTTACGTTGGTTGAGTCATGTGAAGAAAATTCAACACAGACACACGTAGTTAGAAAACTGAGGACAACACAAACCCCCAGCAGGACGCCAGCTATACTTTCAGAACTACTGATAAATATGTGAAACGTAACAGTTTTGTTCAGTCACAAAACCAGATCATAACTTGCCTTCTACAAAAACACTTGACATTTCAAAGAAATGTCTTATATTCACAGAGGAAGACAAGGAGACTGAGGAGGAGGAGAGGAGATGCCAGGAAACTTAAGAACTGTATTATCTGTGTGCCTTGCTACTGTGATCTTTACAGATCAAAGTTAGAATTTTATAAAAAGTTTAAGTTATTAGAGAAGTGTAGCAATACAAAACGCCTTCAAAGGTGTACCTCCGAAGTTACCAAAACAAAAAACCAAGAACCAAAGGGATTAAAGAATTACACCCCCAAAAATGGCAATAATAATATTAGTAAGAAGGCTCCCAGTTTAGAGGGGAAAACCCCATGTGGATGTAACTAGACTCTTTCTCACAAATACATACAAATACCTCCAAGGAATATAAAGGTGTGTATCCTATCTCCACTTATATTCATACTTAGAAAAAAGACTTTAGTTTCAAGAAATGCCTGGCAGTATAACCAAACCATATATTTGTTACAAATTAATAACATCTCGTACCTTCTTAAGTTTTTTCAATAATCACTTTAAATATATTTCATTTCAGAGTTCAGAAACATTGTACCTATTAAAGAAACTGATGTTGCATCATACACAGTTTAAAGTTTATGAAATAAAACATGCAATCAATTCTCAAATTTTCATCTACATTAACAAAGTATAAAGATAATCATAACAATTTATTTGAACATCAACTATTCAATAAACAGTTATATTAATTTATTTAACAAAAGACTATTTACATTATTTCCAACTTTCAATTATTTCAACTTCAATTATTTTTCACTATTTTAACTATAATTAAACTTTCGTAACATAGTGACCTTTCTCTTTCAATCTTTAAAGAAAATGTTAAAAGTCCTCCTTGTATAAGGACCACTGCATTCTCTAACATAGAAGACAATACACCATATTTATAGACGGATGTAACCAGATCACAACAAAAGGAAGTTGGTTTCACAGGCAATGGATACTCTTTGACATAGCAAGCCCATGGCACAGCTCAAAGTTAGTTTTTGAAGATAAAATATTATAGAAATAACAAACAAATCAGAAATATATAATTGATGTACTATCATAAAATGAACCCATATTTAATTTTAAAAGCTGAAGGGCAATTTTTGTGAATTTTCTGCCTAGTGCTGTTCCTCCAAAGAACTCTAAAAACAAGTACACAGAACTTAAATGAAAGTCAACCAGCTATAAATGTGTCAGAAATCTAGAAAGTTAACTCTTGCAAGGCTTTGATGAAAGAAAGCTTCTGAGAAATGGACAAAAGAATTATTGATATTTGGTTCAATAGACATGACGGCTACTCCATTGTATTTCTTCCCCAACTGTGCTCCTTGGACTCGGCCTTGAGTTTACAAACACATTCCAGCATGATCTCAAATACTAAAAATCAGTTACATTTGGGTCATAGTAATTTCACTCAATGATTCATTTATTTATTCACTCAGCTGCTGTTCATCTAGTACCTCCTGTGTACCAAGCAGTGTGTTAGGCATATCTACCTTACCAAGTACCAGGACAAGTGAGTGGTACACAGTGTGTTTTTTAAAACCCTCCTTTACCTAATGATGCAAAGCAAGAGGGAAGATGAGGAGCAGCAAATAAACACATCATGCACCTGATATGCTTATATAGTTGCATATCATTCAAAATGCTGTATTTAAAACTAGTCCTATAATTTACAGCATTGAGTTGTCCAAAAGACTAACAAGTCTCTATAGTAGACTTTGCTTTATGTCTACCTAGAAGGGACTATGTCCCTAAGATACATTAGAGAATGCAGTTTGCTGTGAGCTGGAGCCCTCCATTTATAACAGAATACAGTCAATTCCAGATTCAAAAACTCCTCCTCTTGACGTGTTTTTTGGTTTTGAGTGGACAGATATTTTGGAAAGGAGTTACTGAATTTCTAGACAAAGTCTACAAAATATGAAAAGACTGACACAGGTCAACACACGGAGAGAAGTCTGTGAGTACTATTCTGCACTAAAGAAGTCAAATCTGCAACTAAATAAGAGTATGTATCACAATTTCCTTCACATTTCTCAGTAGAAAAAGGTTAGATCATTTTTAAAAAACACCTTATTTAGTGTTGATATGAAATATCAAGCACTTTAAACATATTTTTGCTATCATCATTAAAATATTCTCAACTTTTAAATTAGTTTTCAATTTTACAGGAATGTTATCATTTTGTATACTTTTAATGGGTGGTATTATAATTAGAAAGCATCCCCCACCATACTCCATTAGTAAAATTAGTGCATAAACCTCATTAAGAAAAAAATATCATCATATATTAAACATTCCCTGTGAGCTAAATACTTCCATAAAAAAAACAGAGAATGCTCACAAAACAGATTACAGAGTATGTATAAAACATCAAATTGTGTACATGAGTGTTGCTAATCCTTGGTTTAATGTCCATTGATACTAAATAGGCAGAGTTCTAATGGCAAGTGTCATTTATTGCAAAGTCATACCAAAGTGACCACCATGTGGAAAATGACAAAACAAAAAAGAGTAAATATGACTCTGTACTTAAGGTGGAGGTTTGATGATAGAGAAATAGAAATGAAAAACACCTAACAGTTGATGGGGCTGCATTTAATAAGTAAAGTGAAGTGCTTGAAATAAAAACAACTTTCAAAACTTTACGTAAAAGGTTATCACTGCTAAACTATAGGCTACGTTGTGTTCAAAATTCTCACCAAAATTTGACTATCTGTAACCTGTTCTTGAAACATCTGCATTGCTTTCGTCAGATCTTCTTCACCTTCTGGAATGCTAAAATTGTCATCTGGTATCTAAATCACAGAGCAAGAGAAGGACAGGAAGAAGTGTTAGCAAGAATATAAACATACACTATTTCACTTTCATTTTTTCTCACAAAACAAAGGATCAGAGAAACATATTTTATGTCAGACACCATATCATTTTGAAGATCTATGAAAATGAATAAATAAGGAGCAGAAAGCTTTCTGACTTTCTTTTAAACATCATTCAGTGTCACTTTTAATAAACTCAGTGTTGGCTTATGGGCAACTGCTTTTATCTATAATGACAAATGTAGACCAACATCTGTGCTGAAAAAAATGTCAGGCGATCTAAATGCCACCATTCCCTCCTCATCCCAGATTCTCCTCACCCATTACTTTTTCATAACTACTACTGGCAACTACAAATCTCTGGTTTATTAAAAAATAAATAAATCACACTCCCTGCCTGAATGTTACACCCTTGGAAGAATGTAATCAAGTTCAATTTTAAGTGTTAATAATAGTTAACACTTATTGCATGCTTCTTACATGCTGATCACAGTTTTAAGCCCTTTGCAATCATCCATCTCATTCAGTAATTTCATGCGGTATGCATCCACACCAGCTCTGCTGCTCCAGCAGTAATAAAAAGCCCGTGTTCTGTGCTTCTCCTGCCCTTGCTTGCCCAGGCCAGGAACTGCCAGGCTTGCATCCACACGGTCACATTCATAGCCCCGCCTCCTAGAAGTGTCTTTATCCTCCATGTCTCAAAAGTAATGATTAGTTCCACTGGAATGGTCCATTAAATGGAAGGTTTGGGACAGTAACCACACTCTCGCATAAGTGTAGTTAAGCTGGCGGGAAGCACAGGACCTGTGTTCCAGCTGTGCAGTGGCAGTTTGAGAGACGCAGCCCAGAGCAGACTGGGGGATGGTCAACACCTGTTAGCCAGTGATGACAGGTGGCAGTCTGGTTCCTCAAGGCAGGGGATAAGGGGCTGATGCTGAAGGACAATTAACAGGAGACCCCCAGAAGCCAGATACACTAAACCAATCTAAATTTTTAAATACTGAATAGAATGTTCACACCTCACTCTTAGCCAGCTGAGATTAGCTAAAATCAGTTGAAAACCTAGCAATTCTTAAGTAAATATTTCTTAGGAACAACCACAATGAATTTATAGAATACTCAAAATGAACAAATTACCTCTTCATATTCAAAATCATCATCTTCAGATGCCTCGGTGATGGTGACCTCTGAACATCTTGTCAAGTCTTAATCTCAAAATATTTGGAATAAAATGATTCTATTTAAAATCAATTTAATGTCAAAATACAGTATTGGCTCCCATTATCTTACCAACTCGGTGGGCTAATACATTTCAAAGTTTCCATCAATGAAAGTTATTTAAATCTCCACTTTTTTCTTATATTTACTTCTCAGTTTTAATTCTCCTCAGGAAAGGCAGCCAAATTTTTAAGCAAATATAAACTATATAGTAATCATAATTCAGTAGTTCATAAATTATTAAGAAATAAGTATTTTAAATATCAGAAATGATTCTAATAAAAATTCGAACAGTATTACTGTAAGACTTCTAAAATTATAAAAGTTGTTCTAGTTATAAGTGAAAACTTCAACAGTTATTTTGTTGGTTGGTAGGTTTATTTTTTTTCTTCAAACGTAAAGGCTTGGTTGTGCCAAGTTTAAAAAGCATGAAATTAAACCCTTTAATGCACAGTAATGGTTATGAAAATCAAAGATGAGATTAGCCTAGTTTGCATTTTGCTGCTGGTTATAAGAAATTGTCTCTGTGATTCTGCCTTCCAAGAGTTAGCTGAAAGTGTATTTAACAACTTATGTTGTTTGTAATATGAACTGATAACACATAGTATTTAATAGAAGCCAGATGCTGTCCTAAGGGTTCTACGTGTTTTAACTCATTTCATCCTCATCCTGTCTATGAGGCTGGAACCATCATTATCTCCATTCTACAGAACAGGACTCAAAGGCACAAGACTGCACAGCTAGGACCTATCAAAGCTAGGAATACACTCCAGAAATTCAAGTTTCACTCCACTACACTCTCTCTCTTATTGTTCTCTACCGTTTTTCTATGCATGTAAATACTTGAGGTGTTTGCCAATTATTTTCCACATAGTTCCATACTTCTAAAGACAGGCAATACCTTCTGGTTACCAAGCCTCATCATAACCAATAACTCTTTAGTGTTTGCCTTATTATTTAAGGAGACACTTAGTCCTAGTTCAGTTATGACCAACTCCTGGGAACCAGCTACCTGTCAAACGGCCAGTATTTTATTGTCAAACATGAGTGGCTCTCCCAAAATTATGGTGAAAAGTAATTTTGGCTATAAAAGTAAACTAAACCACCACAAAAATAATTGCATGCCTGCAGTGCATCCCATAACCGTAAACTCACCCTTATGGAGTACCTACCTTTTACTGACATCCTGCATAAAGGGCCTCCAAATCCACCCAATGCACTATTGCAAAGCCACTCTGAAACTCTAAGGTCCTTTTCATGATGGAACCTCTCTAGGTACCAAAATCAGTATGTTGTTTACCTATTGCTGCATAACAAACTCCCCAAATCTTTAAGCTTAAAGTAAATACATAAATCAGCGTTCATTATCTCACAGCTTCTGCGATCAAGACTTCAGTAGTGGCTTAAGTGGCAGATTTTGATGTGGTCACTCATGAGGTCGCAGTCGAGATGACAGCCAGGGCTGTGGTCACCTGAAGGCTTAACTGAGACAACAGGATCTACTTCCTGAAGGCTCAGGTCCTCCCCACGTGGCTCTCCCCACAGGCTTCTAAAACCCCCTCAAGACATGGTGGCTAGCCACCTGCAGAATAAGCCATCCAAGAAAATGAAGTGGAAGCCACAGTTTATTTTATCAACAGCCTCAGAAGTCACAAATCATCACTCGCTCACTGGTTACACAGATCAACACTACTCACTATGTGAGGGCACTCGACAAGGGCATTTACACCAGGAGGTGGGGATCCCTGGGCGTCATTTGCAGGCTGGCTACTACACTACCTTACAGTGGCTCAAGAGCATTAAAAGAGTTAACACATGTAAATTATTTAGAAAAGTGCATGGCTTACAGTAAAGGCTATATAGTGTTTGTTCTATTTTCTATGTTCTGGAAACAGAGAGTATCTGTGGAAAAAGTCTCATAAGTCTCCCACGGCTCAGTTCCCCCATATGTTAAGCTGAATGGATAAAAGATAGTCTCAATTTTCCTCCTTTTCTACATTTATATTTATCTGACACATTTTTACTTAATGAGATAAAAGTTCCTGATTATCAGATACAGGAAGTCAGCCTACTTTTGTATGGAAAAGTACGTTTCCCTATGAAAGACAACTACCAGAAACTGATTTTGTATGCAATTATCTGCCATTACATCTCCAGAAGAGCAAGGTCATCCTTCACCACTGTTCATACCATAGAAAAGTAAGTATTCTATAATGATCTGGATAGACTTTATAACTGTAAACTGACTAGCTGCTGACTAGATTGTGAGGAAGGAACATGAAAGTAAAGGTTATTAAACATAGTGATATGTAGAGGGGAAAAGTGAACTGTTCTAAAAGCTTTGGAAATATCTAACAACCACCTATACACTCTACCCAGAAAATATTCTAAGCAAAGGATTTTATCACTGGTAAAATATTCTGTTTCCACACAACCAAAGAAGACTAAGAAAAAATAACTACCATTTTGTAAAGCTTAAAAAGTATTGCCATGTGGAACACAGCCATATTTATTCTCATAACAACCTTGTAAGATTGAATGGTGCAGATACAGTCATCTCTAAAAATTAAAAAAAATTAGAATCAAAAAGATTAGCCTAAAATCACACAGCTATAAGTAACAAAGACAAGTTTCTTCAATATAAATGCCAAGAATTTTCTAGTACACCGTCCTATTTCTACAATGAAACAGGAACCTGCAGTGTTTGCCAATATCCTAAGTAATATAAACTCTCACCTATTTATTTTCCAAACTCATAAGAATTATAACAACAGCTAAATCATATCACTTAAAGAGATCAATGTGAAGACCTTAAAGGAAGGAGGAGTATAATAGGGCTGCAGACCCAAAAATTACATTAACCCAGGGCAAGAGATTAGAGACATAAAGGATCAGGAAAAGGACAAATATCCAAAATAGGATCAGGTATCCTCCTGATGGATATTTTTAGTATTCACAATAGGAACCTGCACCAAAAATCTTCCCAGAAACAACTCAGTTGAAATGTGACGTTGCAGTGCTACTGAAGAAATAAAAGTACTTTGTATGTTGGTATGCATCTGCCTATCTGGCTAGATGGTCAGCAATACACGGACAAATGCATGAACAAATCCCAAAATGATTCTCTGGTAGTTTGCAAATATGCATACACTACAAAATATAAAAATAAATGAATATGCAAATTAGAAGAGAAAGGGAAATAGTAGAAATAGGATAAAGGTAAAGATGCAGTATATGCCACAGGACTCATAAATTGTGTTAAACCTAAGCCACAGATTTGACCCTAAGCTTCCCAGCAGCCAGGGTGAAAAGGGAGATGTAATCAGACACCAATTCAATATCCATCCAATGAAAACAGATGAGTTTCTCGGCAGATATATAGCAATTTCTGGTTTCAAAGCATGAATAAATTACACCTCCAGTTTCCCATGAAGAGAACATTGTGGATTGTACAGATATTGATCCCCTTGGCCCTTGGGATAGCCAGAACAACAGCAGGAAGCAGAATCTGACAGAATACCATGTGTGAAAAGCACTACCTTAGAAGCAGAATTGCCAGGGTAGAAATAGATCATTCATCAGAATTGTTTGAAAGCTGAAACCTTTACTGTGGTTCTATAATACTTTTACTGGGAAACTTTCTCATCTGTAAATCTAATCTCTTAGGTGACCCTATTCTCCAGGGGATGTCCCTACATTTAAGCTGGCCACAATTCCAGCACAGTTCTTTTTCCACTGCAGAATAATAAGCTGGCATCTGGCTTAAAATCAGTTTCTTAATGCCAAGCTGACTCTGAGCCCTTACAAAACTCCCTTCCCTTTATCCACCTAGTTTTCTCTCAAAGAACATCACAGAACTCCAGTTCTGAAATTCATTGTTTCCCACTCTGTTCCCCTCAGGTCTGGTTCTTCCCTTTCTGACTATTTGACCTTAACTTGACATTTAATACTGTGCCTGGTTCCAAAATCTGCTTTCGCTGGGGCACTGTCTGGGACTCCCCTTTCCTCCTGGGTCTGCAGCCACAGTCCACAAGGCATACTTCCTAGGCAGGTTCTATGCCCTAGAGTCACCTTCTGGACTCAGACCAAGGGTCCCACTCCACCACATCTCCACTTGCCCTAAAAGGAATTTAACAGTATTTGTGAGTTTGCACAGTATGAATCAACATCCCGGTACCATTCAGTTGCCATGGGTGAACTGATTGGGACCTTGTGCACTAGCGGAATCTTCACCAGATCCTGACTTCCTAGATCCTATCAGAAAGCAGGCCAATATACACCCCCACGGAAACTGCCAGGGAGCCCTAAACCCATCACAGTGCTACAGGAGGTACCACCGCAAGAAGCCTCAGAGCAGTGTTTCAGCGGGTCTAATGGAGCAAGGCTTGAGGTGCCAGTTGGTACGACGCTGTCCCAACATTCAGGAAATGGACCACAGCCAGAAAGCAACAGACAATTTTCAGATATAAGCAACATACAAAGTTCCTCTCACACTAGTCTCTTCTACTATTGCATTTATACGTAGTGATCCCTGCCAGCAGCAGCATCTTTATAAAGAACTGGAGGGAAACATATAGCTAATTATATTTTACATGATTTCCCAAAGCTGCTGCAGCCAGAAATTGCTTTGTAATCTCTGCCATCACTGCAGAGCCAATGTATATACAGAGGCGATCTAAAATCCAGGCTGGGTCCTCTATAATCAACATTTTACTTACTAAATTGAAATTTGCAAAAAAAGTACTGTAAACAGCAAACACCACAGTCGTGTGCCCTTTCTTAGGAATTCCAGTTTAAATAGAGTAAGTTAACTGAATAATATAAACCAAAGACAGGAAATAACTGGCACGTCTGCTGCCAATTTCCCCGCTGTTTGCTCCCTGCAGTCTTCTTTCTCCCCACGACTTCATTAGGTCTCAGAATTCTTATTAGCACCACATACCAGGAAGCCACTACCATCTTAATAGCACTGCCAAGAATGGAAATGTAGTGGCCACCCTTGCCCTAGACAGCTCCTGCCCATCTTCTGCCTCGGAAACTGGAAAACAAGTCTCTTTCAACTTCAAGACTCGCAGTTCTCAGAGTAGGTAGTGGTGTACGTTTTCCAACTTGTAATCCAGGAGAGCCAAAGATACCAACTCCACATACTGTAACCTTGATCTGAAAATATAAAGGTTAAAGGTTAAGATATTAACCTTTATATACAGGCTTGCTATTCCTATTGCAGTTCTTACCAGCAGCACCTGGGAGCTTGTTAGTGATGCTGATTCTCAGCCCTGACCAAGACTTATTGAATTAGAACCTTCATTTAAAGAGTACATCTTTAGGTCCATCCATTCTGTTGCAAAAAGAAACAAGAGAGAGAGAGAGAAAGAGCTCACAGACATGAACAACAGTGTGGTGATTACCAGGGAGAGGAGAGGGGAGGGAGGCGGAAGAGGGTACAGAGGAGATAAACGGTGAAGGACAGACACTTAGGGTGGTCAGCACAATACAGTGTACAGACGAGGTTCTGTAGAACTGTGCGCCTGAAGTGTATAATTTTATTAACCAGTGCCACCCCAATACAAACAATAAAAAGAAAAAATCCATACCTTTGATTCACATGCACATTAAAGTTTGCCTGAACTAGAGGACACAGAACATCCTTTTTCTCTCCAAATAGCCTATGACTTTCCTGCATGTAAAATTCAGCACATGAGTTTAGTAACATGCCTCTTGGTGTAGATTTTACATTCAGATTGTCTATCATTTTATTTGACTATATGTAGGGTACACCTAAGCCCCCCTGGGCAAATTCAGTTCTCCATGATGATAAGAAATGCATAGCTTGAGTACATATGCTTATTAAGGATTTTATGAATATCTTCTCACTACTGTAAACATTCCAGGGAAATAACATAACAGAGGGAGATTTTTTTAATGTTAAAAGGAATAAAATATTTTTAAATGATGAAAGTTCAATTTTAATTAAACAAAGTTACTGGTGAATATTATACTACTGCAAAGAAAGACTGGCTAGGATGTCACTTAAAAAGACAACCACACCTCTTAGGTGGGTATCAGTTTAACATGATCGCCATGTTTCAGGGTCTGGAAACCTTAATTCTGAATTTTCAGAAACAGCTAATTTTGGAGCTGCCTCAAAGGACTGGCTTAACGCTTTCAACTCTCAGCAAGCACTGTTCAGAGATTGCTTTGGGAGCCAGAGGACACCTCTTCAGGGGCCAGAAAACATATGTCCATACTCTAAAGAGCCACATTTTTAGAGGTAAAATGCCTGGAAAGATGACATAATAATCAAAATCTAGTTAGGGGAGCAGCGAATCAGAGTGGAGAGGAGATAACAAAAACAACACTCGGGACTCCACCGCGTCCTAGAGTCACGTGCTCCATGGCTCTTCCTCGACCAAGGTCTTTCTCTGGACGGGAAACAACAAAATCAATGAAGCATTAGCTTTTTTAGTGTGTTCATTCCAGCCTGCATGGGAAGCGGCACGCCCAAATGTGGACAACCCGTGCACTGATAGGCAGCCCATGGTCACAACTGCAATGGAAAACACCACCCAGACTGTACTGATCCCTAACGGAGGACTCACTCACAAAAGACAACCACCAACCTTCTTTACAAACTCTAGAGATCCCTATTTGGCCCCTTACAGATCGCTTAGTTAGAATCCAGCCTTACATTCCACATGCTGCTGGGATCTTTCTTATGAAGAGCTCTGCAGAGGATTTATGCACTCCATGACCAGATTTCTTAAAGCTCTGGTGGTAATGAAATAAGGACTACTTCATGTAAGTTTGTGTCTCATCTTTTGGAAGTTTAAAACATAAAAGCAATGATATTGTGAAGTGTGTCGGAAAAGAAACAAATGGCCCTATTACAGCTAGGAGGTTGCAAGGGAGCGGTGTCGCAAGGGTAAAAAATTTTTCGTGAACACACTCTCTACACTGCTATAGAGTGTGGAGACTTCAGTGAAGGCATTGCCGCGGTGATGGATCCTGCCTGTGTTTCTGGTTTGGGCCACATGAGTGTGTGCCTGTTCTTTATGTCCAAATGTTTAACAGCAAAGAAAAGGGTGAGTTCCTGGGGAATTAGTCAACATCTTTCCAAGCCTTGCTCCATACTGATAGCTTGTTGTCTAGTGTTCCAGGAGCACCTGTTCAGTCATAAACATGGAAGTCCAACGCCAAATGCAGGAGATTGGAAGCGATAAGGTGTACGTGCAAAGTAGAGAACATCAGATTTCTAACTCATTTGTGCATATTATAACTTTTCTTTATCCGCTGCAATAGCTCAATTAAATTACCTGAGAGCTAAGGACTTTCAACCCAAGAAAGTCTCACTTCAGCAACTATCATAATTGCCTTAGGAAACAATGTCAAATAACATTATACAGTCAACTCTTAATTACGCATGTTAAGAGAGCCCAGGGATACAGGGATAATTGGCATTCAGTAGTAATCCTCCAACCTCATTTTAACTAAGAGTTAAAGCCTCTCTGTTGACTATAGCTCTTACTTGCATTGAATATAGGAAAATTGACTGGTTAAATGTTTAGCTCTGTTATTCCCTGACTACTCTAGTAGAAACCCAAAACAGTAGTCAGTCAGGCAAAGAAGGATGAAAGAAAAGCAAAGGGCCTAAATAATTCACAAACTAGATAACGAAATTCCGAAAAGTGGGAGTTGCTTATATTTGCAAACACGGTGTTCAAGAGAAGTCTTCATAAGAAAGGTTTTGTGCAAAATGCCAGGTGTTGGCAGTTGTGACTCAGTGATCTCCCAGCCAGTTAAGTGAACGTGATTGTCATTGCCGACAGCTGTGCTATATTGAACTCCCACCATTTATTTCACGAAAATGTTTGCAAAAAGTTGCCTCATTGTGTTGGTCTCGTGTTACCAATTATACTACATGTTACAGAAATCATTTTAATACAGACAAAAATGTTAAGATGTCTGGTTATCATTCACTAGCAAGGATACTGGGTAACTTTATAATTGGTATAGATAGCTCTGAAAGAAATGTTGGCTTTTATTTACTTTAAAAAGGACCATTACTGAAAAAAACTTGTTAGAACTATAAAAATAGAGTATAAAACTTCATTTAAGACACTAAAGCACCCATATATTCCACTCAAATCAATTTCTAACTATCCCAACTTGTATACCTGGAAAAACCATGTTCACCTGGAGTGAAATACTACATACTTTCTTTGATCTCTTAACTTAGCCCCTCAAAGCGCCCTGTAGCAGAGATGGGCACTGAAAGCGAATCAGGACAGGTTAATCAGTCTGCCAAAGGCCACCAAATGGACGTCACTGGGTCCAGAAGTCATGAATTAGAGCTGGAGGGACTACAATGGGACTAAATAAATAGATTAATAAATAATATAAGGTAGATTTGGAGTTTCCTTGTTACTTTAAGAATAAAACACAGAAACCATCTCTCCTTCCTTCCCGCTTGAAGAAAGGAATAGGTATCTTTTTCTCATGAATCGTCCCCCTCTCTGCCTAGACGAGGGGAGCTCCAAAGTTTTACACAATAGTGAACTTAATTTTACACATATGGCTATTCGATTTTTTTCTGCTGTTTCCACTGATAATTGCTCATCACTTTCTGGCTTTTCCCCCGACACGTCTGTCTGAGCCCTGTCAGCTCACCAGGCTATCATTTAGTTGCTAAAGGGGGAAAAAAGTAATTATTATTATTAAATAGCCTAAAGTGATACTACCCAGGAAATTAATGCTACCAAAATAAATCATTGAAGCATTGGACACGGTTGGATATTCTGAGCCTGAGGTCGTTAAAAGCCCAAAGGCAGAGGTTCTTCCCTATCTGCTAACTTTCTTGACTGCATTTGTTCAGAATATCTGAAAGTTTGGGGGCTTATTTAGGAAAACCACTAAGCCAAAAGAAAGGTTGGATCTACTTGTGCGACCTTCACACGAAACTTTTTGCAAAGTTTACTAAGCACGAAACTCCTGAAGGTTCCAACGTCACTTCCAACAGCCACGCGGCAGCCTAACCATCTAACAGTCGGTCGAAAACTGGGGGGTTGCGGTGGCAGAGACGCCACCCTGCGGTACAACAGATGTCTCTGCCGCTCGGCGGTCCCCAGCCTCAGAAAGCGCCCCCCAGTGGGCAGCCCCGGCCCGCACCCCTAACACCCGTTACCGCGGCAGACACCGGGGGCCGCGCCTACACGGGAAGGATACGCTCCAGGTAGTAGGTGCCCTCCGCGGCCACCGCGTCCTCAACGTCCCCTGCAGCCGTCAAGCCCAAGCCCAGTGCTTCTTCCAGAACTCGCAGGGGAGGGGTGATCCCCTCTCGCTGAGCAGCCATCGAGGCGCTCTCGGCCCCTGCCCCGGGCAGGTCCAAAGCGTCTGTAGGAGCTACGTCGAAGACGCCTACCAAGGACCCCCACCCCACGAAGATCTCGCGAGAGCTTGACACTCCCTCACCCCCACCCTGCAGGCCAGCTCCAGACACGGAAAGGCTGCCCCAGGACACCGGTTGGTGCCCTCTGAGCTTCCTGGGTTACCACGGCAACGTCGTTGCCTAGTTACCCTGGGAGTTCTTGGGACGCAGCTCCTGGAGTGGACGAGGTAAAAGGCGAAAACAGTGGGCTTGGATTACACACATTTTCTTACCGAGGCAGCTGAGTTTTTAGTTTTGACCCTAGCATTTTTCCCTCACTTCATTGTCTTCCCTACATCACCTTCCTCTCTTGGTTCTTACAGGCCTATCAGCAATCCTCAGATTTCAGATGTGTGTCCAGTCCCACTGATCCCCAGGAAAAACTGGAAAAGAGGAAGTTTCTAAATGCCTGGAGGGGAAAAAGTCCTAGAAGTCATGATTGAGAGCCTGACACTGGGGAACTACCATCTTCAGACCCTTAGCAATAAAGAAACAGGGTTGTTGGCTTAGTCAAATCCATGCTTGTGCTACTTTAAAACTTTTATCTGGACATCTGTCTTGACTTTGATTTCATACACTGGGACTTGGAACAGTATTTGGAGCGTCGATTCTTGCAGGTAAAGACACTTTCACAAGAATTATGAGGTACAAATAGCCCTAGCATAATGCATAATAAATGATATTTGCCCAATCCTGTGCAGTCCTTTTGCTATGACAGAATCTTCCTGAGATTTATATTGTGTATATATCAGAAGCAAGCATCTGCTGGGCCCTTTTCTTTGAAGATTCTTTTTTATTCTGCATTTCTTGATGAAAAAATGATTGTATATCTTAAAGCCTTGTTGCCAGTGGTAAAACAACATAAGAAATAAAGAATTCACCAGGCACATAGTAAACACTGAGAAATGAATGTTATTTCTATTAAAGTTAATTGCTTTTTAATAATCAAGGGTCACAGATATAATAGTTGGAAAATTCATTCCTGGTAGTGGTTTTTTTAATCATCTGCTCTTTGTCCTTTATTCCTTACATCAAACGCATCCTGAGTGTGTGTTAGATGCAAGGAACAATTATAAGAAGCTGCAAATACAGGAAAGGAATGCTGAAATTGGGGGATCCACTGCTTTCTAGAAAGCCTTCTCTTTGTTCCAAAGGGAGGCATACCCCATCCTTCAAGATTGTTTTCTGTGAACACAGGGCTGAGAAATGGCCTGGGTAAGGAGTGGTCAGGGCCTCACAGGCAGAGTAAAGAATGTAGGAGTATGAGAAACCCTGGAGGAAAGTCGCACTGAACGGTTAATGTTTACTTCTATTTTTTTTTCTTTTCTCTGTTACAAAATCTCAATTTTCAGATGTATTGTGTTGGCCAAAAAGTTCGTGTGGTTTTTTTTTTCCATAAAATAAAAGACATTTTTCATTTTCACCAGTAACTTTATTGATTTGGACATTTTGAGTGTGTTGGCTATCTTCTGGATGGTATAACATTGATCGTTATTAATTAATGTCTCAGTTTGGTCACTCTCAATTTCAACTGGTCTACCCTACTGTGGAGCAATGTCTGGTGAGAAATGTCCAGCACGAAATTTCACAAACCGCTTTTGATATGTCCAACCAGTCACACCTTCTCCATGACCCGCACAGAATTTTCTTTTGCATTTCAGTTGCATTTTTACCTTTCTTAAAATAATAAAGCATAATATGCTGAAAATGTTGCTTTTTTCCATTTCAATATTAAAACTGCTGCATAAAAATTTACCAATTTTGATTTTTTTAATGGATGCTGATGTGACAGCTGTCACAATACAACCTAACAAAATTGTTTCAAATGAAGTTAAAGACAACTAAGTACTACTAAAGCCATCATATGAAAAAAAACAAACTTTTTGGTCAACCCAATAGTATGTAATGTTTTACTGATAGGTTTAAATCCTGGCTCTTCTGTATGACCTCAATTAACTTAAGCTCTCTGAGCCTTAGTTTCCTCTTCTCTAAAACCAAGATTTTAATACTTAACTTACTGAACTATAAAGAGTAAATAAAATATGTAAAAAGCACTTATCATCATGTTTGGTATCTAAAATATTTTCAATAAATAATTGTTAATAAAATTGACTTAAAATATTAAGTGATGTGGTGGTTCAAAATTGGATATTATACTTGTCAGAAACTTACGTATATAAGAATATTTTAAGACAAAACTCAAATATTTTAGACATATGCAGTACTCAAAAAAGTAAAAGATTTTAATAGAGTCATATGAAAATATGAACAAATTATGACAAGTATCCACTACTTAAAGTGAAGACGAGATGAGAAAAATTCTTGTCTTAAAAAAAAATAAGAAAATAGTTTGCTAACTCTTATATGTATCATTACTGCTCTCCTCAAAAAATTTTTTTTTGTAATTCTGGAAGTCTTTTTCTCTAAGGGCTTCAAATAACCAAAGTTTAAATTCACAGTTTTCAATTTAATGTCATTTCATGGATTTTAAATTCATAAGTCACCTAAGATATTTGTGGCTCAACTACAGTCTGAACACATTGCAAGAACCTAAGCAGCAGTTCATTTAAAAATTCAAATTAAGGGCATCTTTATTATTATATTTTGTAAACCCTTAGATTGCTACAAAGGATGGGTAATATTTTTAAAAACAATAAATAAAAACAAAAATCTTAAATATAAACAGAACCAATAAATTGCCTTCACATAAAAAAAAAAGATGTGATCTTGTGTGGTGACTGCTAGTATCTTAAATCTAATAAATCTATGCAAGAGATGGATCTAAAAATAATCCTTTCCCATTGTTGCCCTGGCTGGTGTAGCTCAGTGGACTGAGTGAGGACCTGCCAACCAAAAGGTTGCTGGTTCGATTCCCAGTCAGGGCACATGCCTGGGTTGTGGGCCAGGTCCCCTATAGAGGGTGCATGAGAGGCAACCACACACTGATGTGCCTATCCCTATCTTTCTCCTTCCCTCCCTCTCTCTCTGAAAATAAATAAAAATCTAAAAAATTTTTTAAAATAATCCTTTCCCATTGTTTTGATAATTGCTGATTTAATTAAATATTGAAAGCCTCACTAAGAAAAAACAAATTCCAAATCATAGTAGTGGTTTGTATTTTATTGCTATCCTATAGTACTTCAATCCTATAGTTTTTCCTTTTTAAAAGTATTTTGCATGCCCTGGCTGGTATGGCGATTGAGCATCTACCTAAGAACCGAAGGGCTGCCAGTTCAATTCCCAATCAAGGCACATTCCTGGGTTGTGGGCCTAGTCCCCAGTAGGGGGCATGTAAGAGGCAACCACATATTGATGTTACTCTCCCTCTCTTTCTCCCCGCTTCCCCTCTCTCTAAAAATAAATAAATAAAATCTTTAAAAATAAAAAATATTTTATAGACATCTTTTAAGTGGATAAAAAGGAAGTGTCTTAACATTTTGATGAATGAAAAGCAAGCTATCTATTCACCTTTGGATATATTCCCAAAAGAAGTAAATAAAGAAAACTAATGGAGACAGACAAAATGAACCAGTAATAACAAAGGACAACAGATTTTTATTTCCTCCAAACCTAAATGTTCCACTTTTGTAAAAGTGAAATTATTTTTGAATGCAAAACCAGAAAGTAATCTGACAATAGATTTATTCTTCGCATTTGTAGTTTCAAAGCAGGGAATACCCATATGCAAAAATATAGTAAAGTACTATTCAATTTTTAAAAGTTAGGAGTGTTCATTTGCTTTCAATAGAGCCCAAGCCATTTACTGATGCATTTTTTTTTAGAAGTAACTACCTTATTTTCTTTCAAAACCTCACAGTAAGTGGTAGCCAGTTTTAGAATTTCAGGATTCATATAAGTAGTGGTAATTGATTGTGATGGAAATGATCATTTTCAAACATACAGCTATATTTTCCCTTTTTTTAGTACTAACCAACTTGAAAACCCACGTCTGCTATGTTTTTAGCCCATGTAGTTCACACACTCTCATTACTCTGACCGTGAGTAGTGCATGAGCTAACATAAATATCTCATTTTGCTTGGCTACAGTGATCAGTTTCTAAGCCAGCATGTGAGGTAAAAGGAGCCCATGAGACATGATGGGAATTTGTTTGGAATTCTGGAAAAGAGGTGTCGTGAGCGTGAATCTCGAAATAATCTTTCCTATAAGCCAGCCGTTGGTCCCTGCTCAGGCTTTAAGAACTGAAAGCACCAAGCCACCTGTGTGACCACCAGTCCTATAGGTGACACTGGCACTGAGAAATAACAGAGAGCCAACACAGGTGACTGTGCTATTCACTGAGATTTTATTAATGCAGGTTCGCTCAGACTTTATTAATGCAGACTTAATCTAAATCCATACTAACCTAATAACAATACTAATTGCTTAAAAACAATCAGTAATAACATCACATGATACACTGGGGGCTAACGAACCCAAGTCCCAGAGTGTCAGTCTGCAGGTCCAGGAGACAGTGTGGTGAGCAAGGGAGCCATCAGCGTCTTGCAAGGAACAATCTCTGGAGCCAGGTGGGCAGCAGGACAGATGAAGTCCTCAGTCCAGCAGGACAGAGCCTCCTGCAGCCAATGCCAAGGGAGATCAGCGTGGTATGGAGCAGCTCTCTGGTGTGTGGAGCTCGGTTGTCTCAGCAGTGGCCTGGAGCCTGCCTCAGTTATGCCTTGATAGTAGTGAACTCCACCCTTCTGGGTCTCTTGGTAAAAGTCTTGGCACCCCTGATGTCAAACGGGGAATTTTCCCAGGAGCCTATACATGGGTGGTCCTGTTCTGCAGACAGGGCTCTTCTGGTCACATGTGCAGAGATATCTTAGGTGTGTCTCCTTGACAGATGCATCTAGCATTACTTAGGTAGTTTTTTTCTCGAACCAAGGTGTCATGGCTGACTGGTGGCCATCCTGGTTGATAGGAGTGACTCCACTTTCTTTCACATACTTTATGCTATCTTG